ATGGGTAGGCTGGTGACTTGTTTTGCTTTGGGTTGGTCTAGGCTGGCCTAAGCTGTCATGGTTGACTTTATTCTACCCTGCCTTCCATCTTCCTGGAGGGTGGCAGATGCTTGTTCTCAAGGCAATGGCACAAGGCCAAGACAGTTGAGTAGTTTCAGGTTTCTAGAAATCTAAGCTGTGTAGCAGCCCGGTAACACTTCTGCCACACTCTCCTGCAGCCCCATCCAGCAAAGCCCATATGTCAAAGTAGGAACAGGCTTCTCTATGGAAAGAGTGACGAAAATCACACATTTATTGATATATGGGAAACCACTGTGCAATCAGAATATGGTCAAATCTGCACTAAACACAGAAAAACTGCAGCTTGTACTTCCAATGTTTTCTGACATCAGATGAGTGGGTTCTCCACACCAAACAATTCTTAAGTATAAAAGTAGCAGGTGCTTAGGCTGTCCACACTTCTGTCTAACTTGGCTATCAGGGATTCCCATGATGCCTTCAAGTCTGACAACTTGCTAAAATGACACAAGGGACTCAAGGACACTTCACTTGAGTTTATAATAAAGGGTTTTATATAGTGTACAAATGAACACTAAAGTGAACAGATGAAGAGGCGCGTAGGGTAAGGGCCAGTCTCCACTGCAGAAGCCTTTATCCCCGTGGAGTCCGGGGCACATTCCCACCCCTTGGAGGTGTTCACTGACCCAGAAGCTCTCTAGAGTTGACAGTTCAGATTTTCTATGAAGCCATCTTCATGTAGGTATAACCGATCATTAATTCAATCTCCAGCCCCACATTCTCTGGGTAGGGAAGTGGAGCTGGAAATTCCAAGCTTCTAATCATTGCTTGGACTTTGTGGTTACCAGCCTCGATCAGGTCATTTCATGATCGGTTCCAGTCACTTGGATAGGGGTGGAGATTCCTATATGCAGCTCTATCACACAGGAATCACAAGATTTTTAGGAGCTGTGTCAGGAACCAGGGCCAAGAACAAGTGATATTTCTTTAAAAATAATATTAACTTATTTTTAAAGACTGATTTATTCTGATTGAAAACGCAGTATCTACAGAGAAGCAGAGACAGAGAGATCTTCCATCCACTGGTAAACTCCCCAAATGGCCTCATTGGCCAGAGCTAAGCCGATTCTTAGATAAGAGCTTGGAACCCCCTCTAGGTCTCCTATGTGGGTGCAGGGGCCCAATTCTTTTTTTTTTTTTTTAAGATTTATTTTTATTATTTTTTTTTATTGGAAAGGCGGTTATACAGAGAGGGGAGACAGAGAGGAAGATCTTCCGTCCGATGATTCACTCCCCAAGTGAGCGCAACGGCCGATACTATGCCGATCGGAAGCCGGGATCCAGGAACTTCTTCCGGGGCTGCCGGGATTAGAACTGGCTCCCATATGGGATCCCGGGCGTGCAAGGTGAGGACCTTAACCACTGCGCCACCGCGCCGGGCCCCAGGGACCCAATTCTTTGGGCCATACATACCCTGCTTCTTGCCTAAGCCACAAGCAGCTGGATGGGAAGTGGAGCAGCCAGAGATAGGAGCGAGGGATCCCCACGTTTGAGGGAGGAGTATTAGCTACTAAGCCACTGCACTAGGCCCTTAGATTATTTGAGAAGCAGAGAGAGACTGGCAGAGAGCTTCCATCTGTTGGTCCATTCCCCAAATGGCCAGTGGGGAGAGGGTGGGCTCAAGGCTGCAGCTGAGAACTCAATCCAGGTCTTGGTGCCGGTGGAAGGAACGGAGCCATGTGATCCATCATGGCTGTTTCAGGGGCAGCCACAGCAGGAAGCTACGGTCAGTCAGGAGTCAGAGCCGGTGTCAGACACAGGAACCCCGACATGGCATGTAAGCTCCCCGCCAGGTCTACATGTCTTATTAGGTCACACCAGGTTACTGAACTGCACCAAATGCCCACCATCATTTGAATAGTTCAACCAATTAAACATTCAGGACAGATGTTTTCCAAAGAGCCAACAGACATGATAGAAATATTGAAATCATACTGATCCTTTATTCTAGGAATTCACAAAACTTCTCATGGACAAAGCAAGAAGGAAGAAAACAAAAAGGAGTGATAAGCTTTCCGGGCCTGCAGCACATTCTGGATAACTGAGCCTGGGGTCCAGGCTGTATGACAGATTCCTAAAGAATTCACAAAAGTTGAGTGTACTCGTGACTAGGGTTCAGTCTATAATTAAGAAGTCCAGTATTCCTGAATTATTGATTCACTGCAACTAAGAAGAATCTCCAACACACGGGCAACCACCAAAAGATGCAGAGTGACATATATATCTTGTTATCACTGATTTTTTAAAAAGATTTCTTTATTTTTATTGGAAAGTCAGATATACAGAGAGGAGGAGTGACAGAGAGGAAGACCTTCCATCCAATGATTCACTCCCCAAGCTGCCGCAACAGCTGGAGCTGAGCCAACCTGAAGCCAGGAGCCAGGAGCCAGGAGCTTCTTCCGGGGCTCCCGCGGGTGCAGGGTCCCAAGGCTTTGGGCAGTCCTCCACTGCTTTCCCAGGCCACAAGCAGGGAGCTGGATGCGAAGCAGGGCTGCTGGAATTAGAACCAGTGTCCATATGGGGTCCTGGTATGTGCAAGGCGAGGATCTTAACCACTATGCTATTGCGCCAGGCCCATGTTATCACTCATTAAAAAGGTAGAAGGGCCCAGTGCAATAGCCTAGCGGCAGAAGTCCTCGCCTTGAACGTGCCGGGATCCCACATGGGCGCCCATTCTAATCCCGGCAGTCCTGCTTCCAATCCAGGTTCCTGCCGGGGGCCTGGGAACACAGTCAAGGACGGCCCAAAGCCCTGGGACCCTGTACCCACGTGGGAGACCCAGAAGAGCTCCTGGTTTCGGATTGGCTCAGCTCTGGCCATTGTGGCCACTTAAGGGGAGTGAATCAGCACACAGATATCTTCCTCTCTGTCTCTTCGACTTTCCAATAAAAATAAAAAAGTCTTTAAAAAAAAGATCAAGTTACTGGACTTCTGTGAATCCAAGCTTCTTGAGTAGGAAATGTAGATAAGATTATCTCTCTCAAGTGGTGTTTATTACGATTGGGTAAAAAACATACGTTGTCTTCAGGTGATCGTCCACCAATGCTTTTTCTTTGTGGCTATTTAGGTATACAACATTTGTTTCAGTATTTTCACGACTTGTGTTGCATCTGATTACAAAAGTACACAAAATGAGGCCAGACACAGTCCCTGCCCTTGGGACTGTACAAGTCACTCGCATAAATGAAGCAGTTAGAGATCAGTGTAAAACGAGGGGTGGGATTTGGTGAGGGAAAGTATATACTTTGAGGTCATTAAGGCTGATTTCCTCTGAATAAAACGGCACACAAAATCTGAGGCATAAATTGCAAGGGGGGATATTCAGGACTTTCCTTAAAATTTAGAGGTAGAATGGGCTTGTAAGATCAATTAGTTCTGGAGTAATGTTTGAATTATTTCCAAGACTACTAAAGGGCCAGAGATGTGAAAGACCCAAATAGACCTTTTCCCTAATTTATTCTGTTTTACCTTAAAAACTGAAAATGACTAGATTCTATGCACTTTGAGGTTCTCTTTGGACATTAACAGTCCATATTTCTCATGAATACAACCAATAAGATCAGTCCCCAGTTTTAAGAAAGAAGTCTTCAGTAGCTACTGCGAACTGACAGGCCCAGGCTTGCATCAGTCCCCAGATGATTTGGAAGGATGGGACACCTACAGTCCTTACCAAAATTAACTGTCAGCTATAACGTGTTCCCCCTTTCGCCGCGCCGCCTTCATGATCTCATTTCAGGCATCAGCCCTGAAGGCACATTCGGAGCTCACTCATTTCTCCCTTAAGTTTGAAGTAACTCGCTGATGCACAGGATGAGGGAAACCAAGTCCAATGGACTTACACACGCGCGGGCTTTCACTAGAAAGGGAGGGTTCGAGGTTGCCTGAGGGGCTGAGGACGCAGCAAGCCACGAGGAGTGCTCGGAGGGCACCAAAACGCCGCACGCTCTCAGTGGTTTGAAATTCTCTTCATCAACAACCACAAAAGGAAACCTGCCAGTCGGTTCTTCAGGGGTCCCCGGTCGGGAGCCTCCCCCCTCGCCCATCCCGGGGAAGACGAGCCGTTCGCGAAACTCACTCCCCCAACCACAAGGCGATTGCGAGCGAGCCCAGCCACCTTACCCCAAGGACGTCCCGCGACGGTGACCAACAAGCCCCAGCCCGGGATCCCAGCTGCAGAGCGCCCGTCCCAAAACCGGGGGGAAAAAAAAAAAAAAAAAAAGCTCAGGTCTCACGGCAGGAAGCGCCTCAACGCGCAGCCGCCGCGGCCTCCAACCGCCGGCCGGCAGAGGGGCGCTGGGCGGCCCACGACCGCCTCACGGCGCCCCGCGCGAGGCGACCGGAAGTGGGCCGCGGCGCCGCGACGCCGAACCCAAGGAGGTAGGTGGTGGCGGGGCTCCGCTGGCCACTCGCCCAACGCTCCGGAGTGCCGGGCAGCTCTCCCCGCTCGGGGCCCGTCCTCTGCTCGCCCGCCCTGGCGGCCGACAGGAATGGAACGGCCCCGCGGCGGGGATTGTGGGAGGCGCACGCGCACGCGGCGGAAGGTGGGGGGGCTGAGGAGGCGGCGGCGGCCGTGGCGGCGGTTGGCGGCCGTGGGGGCGGGGAAGGGGGAGAGGAGGGAGGAGGAGGCGGCTCGGGCCCGCGCCGCGAAGGTCCGCGTGAGGGCCTGCGCCACCGCCGGCTTGACAGGGGCCGAGAAGGAAAGGCGGGCCTCGCGAGCAGGCGCCTCGGAGCGGGCGCTCAAGGGCTGGCGGGCGCGCGGGGCGGCCGAAGGCTGGTGGTTGGTGGGAAGCCGCGAGCGACGAGCCGGGGGACGCTCGTACGCGTGTCGGAGGGCGTGCGCGCTCCGCGACCGGAATCGGCCGGGAGCGGGTAAGGAGGGGGAGCGGGCGAGGAGGGAGGAGTGGGAAGCGGGTGTGTGTGTCGGGGTGGGGGGAGGCACGGGGCGCCCTTCGCTCCCTCCTCCCGAGGAGCCGCCGCCGCCGCCGCCGCTGCCGCCGCCATTTTGGGTTCGCTTTGCGGAGGGGGAGACGATCCCGGTCTCGGTGGCGGGACCCGCCTCCCCTGTTTCCACCGCCTCCCTCCGCACCGTGAACCCTCCGCCTTTTCCCTTCTCGCTCTCCTCGCTCTCCTCGCTCTCTCGCGCGTTTCCGCCAGTCGGCTTAGCCGCTGGCCGACTCCTGACGAGAGCGGGAGGGATCCGCTGTGGACCCGGGGAAGCGGAGGCGCCTGGCGGCCACCCTCTGCCCCCACGGCGCACACACAGACACACACAGACACACACACACACACACACACTCCCTCCTCCTCCTCTCCCCCACTTGTCTGCACTCTCATCGCTCTCGGCCTCGGCCTCTGACACGGTGAGTAGGACGGCTCGGGGCGGGCAAGGCCTCGGGGCCTAAGGAGCGCTCTTCCTGGGAAGCTACTGTCATCTCCCCGGACCCGGAGCTCCGGGAGCGGCGGCGAGATGGGGGAGGGGACAGCAGGGCAGGGGATCCTGAGCTTCCCGGGGAGTCCCTGCAGGCAGGCGGGGGGTGCAGGGGGTGTCCCTGACAGGCTTGGGGGATGGGGGCGGGAAAGTCAGCGGGTGGAGGGGGAGTCCTCTGTGCCCCTGACAGGCGCTGACAGGCTCAGGATGGGAGCATCCCCCGTGGTCCAGCGTGCGTGTGTGTGTGTGTGTGTGTCTGTGTCTGTGTAAGGGGTGAGCGCCGAGCTGCTCCTCAGAGGGCAGCTGACCTGTGGAACGAGGTCCGTGAGTGGCTCCTGTCTGGTTGTGTGTAGGAATGGCAGGCCCATCTCTGTGTTAGAAGTTGACTAAATGTCACTGGTTAGTTTGCACATGGATGTTTTTGGTCTAGAAGCCAGATGGCTTGTTGGTGCAGAGCGGCTGTGTTTGTAAGGATGAAAAGTGTTTCCGAAGAGTTTGCCGGGATTTGTGGAAGTGTAGTGGAATTCCCCTCTGTGAGTTACTTATTTTTTTAAAAGCGGTGCTGGTATGGTGCGCTCAGGTTGATTGATGAATAGTTGGTATCTTTGAATGGAGTGACTTGTAGAAGGTATGAAGGGCCAAAACATCTTCAACAGGGTGAGTGCTACAAGAATATAAAGAATGGTAGGCCTTTCTGTTGACATGGCTTTATGCGAATAACTTGTAATAGAATAAAACTTGTTGTGTTCAGTCTCCTTCAATCTCTGAGAATGGGAGGGTGGATGTTGTCTCACATTTTACCAAATAGGGAATTGAAGCTTAAAGGGAAAACTTTTCCAAGGTCATATGTTACATTGGTGACAAAGTTGGGAGTATTGATTTCTACTACTAATCCAGTAGTGTCTTCATACCATGGTGCAATCCCCATTGGAACTGAGTGTCTTGAAAAGATAGGGCCCCGTAGTTGTGTTTGGGGTCCAGTTTGTTAGTGTTAGAGTTGTGTGTGGAATGTAGATTGCCCTTGCCAATCTGACCTATATGATACTATTATTATGAGTATATTCTGTTGTGTTTAAGGGGAAACAGCATTTTTCAAGCTTGAACTTGTATGTTTGCGGGAGGGAAGGCTTTCAGAGCCCAGCTTGGACCAGAGAAGCTGTGTGGGTGCTGATAGCTTACCTTTATGGGCGAAAGAATTCTGTCATTCTTTCAACAGGTATTTCTGAATAGTTACTCAGTAAATGATCCCCTGCTTTAGGGTTAGAATGGTTACGTGAGGGAAAGTTGTCTTGACAGCCGAATGTGATGTAGGCAAGTCAGGGTGGAATTAAAACCAGAAAACCTTCCTTAAAAGTCTGTTCAGTTAGGAAGGAATTTAGTAGTTTTAGAGAATTGAATATGAGATGGCACAAGATATAGGAGTGTTGAAGAGTCTAGCAGTGTGGCCAGTTTGGGATAGGGTATGCCTTTGGCATTTTCTTTTGGCAGTTGTGAGGATGCTCTTCTGGGAGCTGGGAATTTTTAATATGTGTGTCTGGATATTGAAACTTCTTGGCTGGACTGAAGTATTCTTCGAAAGACTAATTTCGTACTCAGGATCTCCTCAATGAATATGAGGGAAGAATGCCTAAACCAAGCCAACTCAACTGTCTGTCTCTGGGAAATGGAGTAGTTCTTTATGTGCTAGTTTAGCGGCTCCTAAAAGTTTTTTGGTGTCTCTTACTTTTCTGAAATGAAAAAACTGGGCCCCCACATCACAAAATTGATATAAAAAGCAAATTCAACTGTACAAGCGAGTTGAAAGAGTTTAAAAGGGCTGTAGTTAAATTGAACCAGTTAATATTTGGGCTTGGCGTTTGGCAATAAGTAGAACTTTAGGATGTGTGTTTTTATTTTTTTAGATTATCTGAAAGGCTGTTAGAGTTCTTCGGTCTGGTACTTTACTCCTCAGTCCCGGAGCCTGGGACTTCATCTGGGTCTGCATTTGGGTGCAGAGGCCCAAAGTCTTGGCCCAGCTTCTGCTGCTTTCCTTGGTGCATTAGCAGGCAAGTGGACCGGCCTTGACTCGAACCAGTGCCTTTATGAATGCTGGTGTCACAGAGGCCTAAGCTGATATGCCTTAAACCAGCACTTAGTTCATCTTTTATTCTTTGTAAACTTTTGCAACATTAATGTATCTTTCTGAATCAGCTGATAAAAGAGCACAGTGAAGGCTGAGTATATATGGCTTTGTTCTTTTTCAGTATACTTTATCGTCAAATTCCTGAGAAGCAAGCTCATCTCTCTTTCAGTGTTGCATTGGGAGGGAGGTGTTTGGAAGCCCATTTCTTGGAGTTTAACTTAGTTAGAGAAGCATTGAGTTAATCCCATTCAGAAGACATAAAGGAAGGGTATTTGTAGTTGAAATTCTGATCCAGTTGAATCTATGAACTGCGTGAAGGTCAGGGTTCTCAAAAGGTCTAGGAGGAGGGAAGGATACTTCCAGAAGCTGAGATTTTGCAAGGAGTTTTTGTAATTGTTTATTATTTCTGGGTATTTAGTTATGATTTATTAGGAAGCTATAAAATTTTCATACTCCATAGCAACTTTGTGACTAAAAAGCAGTGTCAAGTGTTACCAGGTGTTTTGGATAAAAGAACTGTCTGGTTTGAGAGAGAGGCAGACATTGATTGTATTTCTTGATTTGTTTTTTTTGTTTTGTTTTTGTTGTTGTTTTGTTTTGCTCAAAAGCATGGCCTTCATTTATTTTGTTTGAGGGAGTTGAACAGAGGCTGAGGCACAAACTGCTCCCGTGCACTGGTTCATTTTGAATGCGCACAGTAACGGTGGCCTGGGTGGAAGCTGGGGTTCTTTTGAACCCTAGCCTTTTGTCGCCCGGAGTGCTGTTTCGTAGGAAGCTGGAATCAGCAGTGAGGCTGGAACTTGTGCACCGGACACTCCATGTGGTGTACAGGCATCCCAAGCGGCTTCTTAACTGCTGCCCCAGACACCTGCACTTGCATTGTGACTGGTTTGTGTAAGAGTCTTAATGTCATTATTTCTATACAGGAATGCAGAAAAACCTGTGGTAACATCCAGTAGCTATTGGACAGACTACCCATGGCTCTAGCATTGGAAATGGAAAATAATATCTGTATTTTTTTTAAAGATTTATTTATTATTTTTATTGGAAAGTCAGATATACAGAGAGGAGAAGAGACAGTGAGAGAGATCTTCCGTCCGATGATTCACTCCCCAAGTGAGCGCAACGGCCGACGCTATGCCGATCCAAAGCCAGGATCCAAGAACTTCTTCCAGGTCTTCCACACGGGTGCAGGGTCCCAAGGCTTTGGGCCATCCTCGACTGCTGTCCCAGGCCACAAGCAGGGAGCTGGATGGGAAGTGGAGCTGCCGGGATTAGAACTGATGCCCATATGGGATCCCAGCATGTTCAAGGCGAGGACTTTAGCCGCTAGGCCATGTTGCCGGGCCCAGTAACATCTGTATTTTTAAAAGGGTAAGAAAGTTGGGGCCAGTGTTGTGCTATGGCAGGTGGGTTTAGCTGTGCTTGTTGCTGGCTTTTCCTCTCAAGGCATTGGTGGGAGTCTCAGTTACTTCACTTTGATCAGCTTCTTCCTGCTGTGTCTGAGAAAGTTTGCTGTGATGTCCCATTCATATGGGAGACCCGAATGGAGTTCCTGGCTTTAGCCTGACCCGTTCCGACTACTGTTTCAGTCACTGGGGGAATGAAGATTTCTTTCTCTCCCTGTCTCCTAGTCACTCTGCCTTTCAAATAAATAAATAAATAAATAATTTTAAAAATTCAGGTGTTTTTAATAGGAAAGGTTGCAGGATTCAGTGAAACAATGGAGAGATCTTACAGAATATGATCATTTTCCATTATTGGCATTACTCTTGTATGAGAATGTCATGTAGGGGCTAGTGTTTTGGAACAGTGGGCTAATCCACCCTGTCCAGCCCCAGTATTCCCTATGGACACTGGTTCTTGTTCCTCGTGCTTTGTGTCCAGTTCAGCTCCCTGCTGATGTGGCTGGGAAAGCAGTGGAAGATGGCCATAGTCTCTGTATGCATATGGGGAAGCTCAGATGAAGTTCATCCTCCTGGCTTCAGCCTGACTTAGCCTGGTTATTACACTTATTTAGGGAGTGAAGCAGCAGGTGGAAGATTAATCTCTCACGCTCACTTTCACTCTCTCTGCCTTTCAAATAATTCAAGTATATTTGTTAATGTTTTACCAAATTTTTAATGCTTAGTATAGTCACGGTGCTATTTTTTCATGGCATCATGTATATATATATATACCTGTATGTATATTTAATCTCTCTCTCTCTCTCTTTCTTTCTTTCTTTCTTAAGATTTATTTATTTTGTTGGAAGGGCAGAGCTGCAGAGAGAAAAATCTTCTATCTGCTGGTTCAATTTTCAAGTGGCTGTAGTGGTCAGAGCTGAGCCGATCTAAAGCCAGGAGCCAGGAGCTTCTTCATAAGCTTCTTCCCAAGGCTTTGGTTCACCCTCGACTGCTTTCCTAGGCCACAACCAGGGAGATGGAAGGGAAGTGGAACAGCTGTGATAGGAAGCTGCACTCATATGCAATCCTGATGCATGCAAGGCGAGGTTTTTATCCACTAAGTAGGCTATTGCACTGGGCCTGTATTTAATCTCTTATGAATCAGACACTTGACAAATTTAAAAACTGCTTGTAATGGAAAAATTCATAATATTTAAAGATCTGGAGGTGCTTGCCTGATCCCAGCATTTATTCCCGCTCCCCCCCCCCCCCCAACATCATGTTACTGTGCACCAGGGGAAGCAGCAAGTGTGGCTCTTGTGCTTTGATTTCTGCCACTCCTATGGGAGACCTCATGGCTTTCTAGACTGCTGGCTTTGGCTGGGCCTAACCTCAGCTGTTGTGGGCATTTGGGGAGTGAATAAG